TATTGTATCATGTGAATATAAGATTTGCTATTTTTGTGCTTATCGCACACAAATATGAATAGGAAACAAACGCAATGATACCGGTACTGTTTTGGAAATGCCACTAAGTACCGGCCGTCGAGTATTGCTTGCAAAGACGACAGAAGTTACTTATATTGTTTTTACAATGGACGTGCACTACTCGACATTATTCCATAGGGAAGTAATGTATTAAATGGATAAGGCCTAAAGTACGGATCTACCATTGAAGAAGCGTTTCCAGCAAAAACAAGAATTTTGGAAAAATACGATTTAGGTGGATTTTGAAATGACCGATTCAATTATTAGGTATCAAAACACTAAAATCTCCATCCAGTTTCAATACTCATGAGATCCCAAATATTTCTTGGGTCCAAACAGCTCTGGGCTTATGAGAGAAAGGTGGATGTAAAAATATAGTACCTACATCTACCTATTTTCATGTTTATTGTCAAAAGCGTCATACACCATACCCACAAACACATATTTCACGAAAAATTGCGTTATGCCAGCCAAGCATTCCACGCAACTCTTGCGGTGAAAACATTTCCATTTCTATTACATGCGATTCAGCGACCATTAATATTTATTTCATAACAAATCAAGACGGGGTATAGTTACGATCATCCTTGGCGAGGTAGACATCGCGCAAACATATCCATAAACTTCATCTACCTCTTCCTCAACGTACAATGTGAATCAAAAGTTTGTATGACCCGCTTTCACTAGAAGAGGTTTATGTGCATATCGTACCGAACAATAAGTTAAATCATAGATATAGGTGATATAAACATAGATCGGCGAGATATCCAGAATAAAGTTATGTGGAACATGGTCAGTGGCCCCTGATATGTTCGTGATTAGAATGTTTACCGATTTGAGTTTCCCTCTGGTTATCGACGAGATCAAGAAATCTGCAGAAGTTCTTTAGCTGCTAGACAACCACAGCGCTGTCCGACAATTGAAAGTTTTATGAACTTTTCTAGTTCTTTGTGTCCAAACATTAAAAATACATTAATGAAAAAATAGACTTGCATACCTAAAAGTAAGTTGACTCGATACTCCCCACGCAATGCTTTTACAGGATTACGTTTGGCACAAGTTAGGCTCATACAATAAGTCCATAGTAGTCTGGCATCTTGCTATGACTAACCTTGCCGCTCGATCGTAACTTGCCGCTCGTTTCAACCACTCGTCAGTCTCAGTCGCACGGCATTCACGTCAGGATACTCATCGGTGAGACTGCGATGCTCGTGTACCCAGAGACCACAAACGTGCGTTGCCTTCATTCATCAATACATACCTCTGATAAGTGTTAGATGTTGATTGTCACGTTTGCTGGTAATACATATTCATTTTTGAGTAATATGTATGGCATTTTTTCATATTATGAATGGTGAACATTAAAAAAAGGGGAGCAAATAGGTCGAATATAGACGAGTAACCGACACATAAAGATACGCTGCCATATTAGTTGAGCAACATAAAGAGATTTCTGTCCTTGGTAGATAAAGCTTCAATTGAAAATCTATTGTGTTGTAGTAACAGTCGAAACACATTTCGGAAAACGTAAGTAGCATAAAAAGGTCGGAGCAGGTAAATCTGGTAGGGTCTGTCTATTCGTCATTGTTCGTCACAGCGCCAGCGGTCGGAGGGACCTTTGCTCTTGATTAAAGTATTGTAGGTCAGTAGGTCTGTCAGGTCTGGTTGTCCAGATATTAGACAAAGTCAGAGAAAAAGAGAGAAGAAGGAAGGAAGGGGAAGAACAAAGAAGAGGGAGTACGTCTGTTGGAGGACTGGAGGAGAGGTGGAGTTTTTTAGTACAATAGATAGCCTGCGTTTTCGAGTAATTAATTTTGATCAGCTACCGATCCGCCCATTCCAACAGCTCATCTATTGCACTTTGTAGCCTGTTGTGAACCAGACTGCCGCAACTGGACTGGGCCAGCAGAGCAGTCTCATCAGCTTACAGATAGACTCCTCAATCGCTGGAGCAGGGGACGTCATGAGTGGAAAGTGAATACAGGATTGGTCCAAGAACCGAACCCTGAGGGACACCGGCTGTGATGGGCCGCTCTGTCGACAAAACATTATTAACTTTGATTCGAAATTCTTTACCTTCAAGGAAGGATTTCAAAAGTTTTATGAGCCAAAATGGAAAGTCCTTTTTGATTAGCTCATAGAGAAGGCCCTCGTGCCTTTGTCAAACGCCTTCGAGACATCCAGAAGCAAGATCCCAGTACTTTCGTTAAGGGTGAAGCTCCTGGTGACTCGGTCCACAAGCCTAACAGCCTGTAACTCCGTACTATAGTACAAGATATATCTTGTAAGGTACTTACTGACGTGACAGATGGAGGTTAAATTTCTTTCCAACTGACGAACGAACCATCACATGAAATACGCCTAGCAACAAGAAAATCGGACCGTGCTCAGGTTACATACTGAGCATCCAAATACTACAGAAAATGTGGATTTGTATTCTTTTCAGCTGAATCTTTCAAAAACTCATTAGAAGATCAGCTTCCAATTCTATAGTAACATTCTAATACCACGCACGTTTTATATAATCAATTTGATGATTTTTTTTTCATTCGCGAAATGAAGTAAATGGGAAAATACCAAAGACAGAAACCACGGACTTTTCAACCTCCGCGTCAAACATTCCTATCAAGTTTCTGGCGGACATTTTAAACAATACCAGCGAATATCATGATTTTTATAAGAACCATTGAAAATGTTATCTGGATGTCCTCAAAATATAAACGGCAAATTGGGTTCAAGCTCCACAAAGACATGTGTCAATTCGCAATACCGTCAAGAGGTGTATTGCGACAACAGTTCTGGGTAGTTTTCGCGTTCTCGAAATTGTTTGGCGTTTTCGCGACGATCAGCGAGCGTGACGTGTCTGGTACTTCCAAAGCAACATACACCTTCATGCACGCTTATCGTTTTGAGGGAGCCGCAGGTTTCTTGGGGGCGGAAATACCTGCAAATTATCAGCAGGATGACAGAGTGGTATAAAATCTATTATCATAGTAATTTTGATATTTACTTTGGAAAGAACACCCTGGTGGCCAAAATGTCCTTGAAAAAATTCTACAGATGTGGTTTCATTTGACCAGAGAAACACGAAACCATATTAATACAATAGCTGGGACATATGAAAACTCCGAACACTTCTATGAATAATGACCAAACGCAAGTATCACATTAGAATTAGAGGTGCACTTATTTTGCAGTCCCCTATTTTATACTTTTGTAGGCCGGTGTAAAATGTGCATAACGCAATGGTTGTTTTCCGGAAAGAGAAAGCATGTGATTATTACGGGTCAAAGGTGATCAATAAACACATATACGATAACGGAATTTGTAAATATAAATTTGAATAAATTTCTTTGGGCTCATCTTCCAGTCAATCGTTCATCTGACGCTCACTTGCCGCTTAACGTAATTTATGATCACATGAATCTATACAAATCGTTGGCATTTCATTAAGTTCTTTCCTTGTGTAATGAAGTAAACAAAAAATGACCTTCGAAGTTATTTTTTTAACTGGGAACTGGGATTGATCTTGAAGCTAAGGTTCAAGCTCAAATCCGAGGTCAATACTGAATTCTGATTTTAAGTCCTAACCTTGATTTTTTATCAACGAAATCAAAACTTCTAGGACTTTTTCCCAGTCTCATACATTTACTATTTAAAGGTGACCTTGCTCTTAGATTTTGAAAAATATTAGAACATAAAATTGAAGGTGAAGCTCAGGGTCAAATTCAAGGTCACCACTGGATTTCTTGTTCAAAATTAGTACACACCTGACCTTTCAAAAATGCCTTACCTAGAAAAATGCAGAGCCTTCCGTTACTTTTGTTACATCCGGTATAACTTGGAACAGTAAGAAATAGCAGCTAGCTATAACTTTAATTTGAAATCTAATTCAATTCGATAGTGCATTTCTCTCATATCTAGATCTCATATCAGTTTTTTGTGTGATAGTCAAAGTAACAGGCATACTTATGCTTACTGATAGAATAAAAATAAAAATTCACAGCGGCGATTCGTGATTCCAAGGACAAAATGGCGTTAGGTAGGTTGACTCCACAATTCCTACGTAACGCCGTCATTTCACAAAGGACTAAATTAGCATAAGTTAAACCCTCTAAGAATAAAGCCACGAAGCTTCTAACATTTATGACACTGAAATTAAATGGATCAAGTCAGTCCAACAGACCAGTAAAATTAATCCGTATTCATTCTTTCCCTGCCCTACCAGTAGTATCGTCTATCTGGAAACGCTGCCCGTTCCCATATCTGATCGCACGGCGCATCAGACGCGGCAGCGCCCACCGCGTCGGGTTCGTAGTACAGGCATAACATTCAACTCGCCCTCACGCTCGCCGCTGAGCATAGAGATTAGAAGTAGCACTCCCATCGGAAACATTAATAATAAGTTTTAAGGGCAAATGTACAGAAAAATCTATGATGTGTGACCACCACGAAGGCCTAAGGCCTAAACACCCATGGGTTACCGTGGGGCTATAGGGGATACAGGGGAAAAGGGAGAACGCCACACGGACTCTGGCAAGGGAACACGAGTGCATGTGCACACATTCTGGCCCCGCCTACGAGATCCGCCGGGTGGAACCTCTGCGTTCGACAGTCAGAGACCGTCTACCACCTACGGCTAATAGGTGCGTAGAATTACCGGGGTTGTGAGCCTATAAATTATATTAACATCAAAAACTGATATCTCCTCTCCCACCTCTTATAACCTTCAACACCCAGACTTTAACCCCTACACTTTTATTTCTGTAAATGATCTGGAGCCTCTGAAACGTCGAAAAACGAAGTTTGATCGTTTTTCATTTTTTTTTTCGTGTTTTTACCCCTAGTTCTACCGCCACTGAACTAATTTTCGAAAAGTACAAAGCTGTTTTATCCTAGGCAAAGTGTGAAAATTTTTCAAAACATGACCCGTTCTTTTCAGCTAGAAAGGTCAAGGATTAACAGGCCAGCAGACAAACAAACCGACGGAAATGAGTGACATCCTTCAATTTCCTCCATTGTATTCCCAACATCTCCGCGTATAACAAGGCAATAGATACATAACGGTCAGGTTATTTGGATGCATCAAAGGCGTCTGCTTTTTTATATTACGTCAAGAGGCTAAAAACATGCAAGGGCGAGAGGCCCATGGATAACCGTGGTACATGGGGTAAGAATATTTATTATTTCCATTTCTAATAAATTACAACAATTATTAGCGTAATTTTCTATTCATGTCGGTAAGTATTGAAAAATAGTATTCCTCCTAATGTACGACATTTCTTCATTCAAATTTCTCTTACCATATCTACTATCGAACGGATTCTTATCTCCAATATCAAGTCTAATTTGGCAAGTCTGCAATAACTCATTAAATATCAGGTAGACTTTCACTTCCTGGTCAATCTAAAATAGAACACCGGCAGAAAAATAGCATCTGATGCAGTAGGAAAATGCATATCCTAGGTACAAGAATATCACGTCGCAAATGACGTTGCCATAAACGACATAAAAATAAATCTAAGTTGAATGCAGACGAAGCAAAAACCTGATATAATTGTGACATCATTAATCAAATGCGTTTCCTTTTTGGTACTCTCATATTGGGTTCGATACAGTTTCACAGTCGTACTGTATAAAGTAAAGAACTTTGGTTATGAGATATCGGTCGCTTTAATATGGATAATATGAGTGAATGTAATATTTTAAGTTCATACACTTTATGATAGTTTTATTTTTGAAAAGCTAATGTAGGATATCCGCGGTGTAGTTCCTATTGAATATAATCACCTTAATTTGATATGACCGTAATGTCACCTTGTACTTCCTGCTTAGCAATAAGTGTTATGGTTTAGAAGAATTGTAATTGCGAATACATAACTTGTTAATAAATACAACCTTAACAAACCCGGGATTACCTGTAAAATGATTTGATTTTTGGTCCAACTCAGGGTTTTCAGCCTAAAAAATCTATTTACCGACGTAGTGATATTGTCATAGTAACCACATTGTTATGATAATGCAGAGAAATGGTTTCAATTTCTTAAAGCGAAAAACTTTAACGGGATAAAACAAAATCAGGCAATTTGCTTAGAAAAGATTGAGAATTTCAAGAATAATGTTCATTTTGAAAGAAATCAATGGCATACTATCAATACCTGCCAAAATAGGCAGGTGAAATTCCATACGAACGCCACTGGTGGAAATTAAAAAAAATGTGATACAATAAAAATGCGTCTAGATACAGAATACCTGTATGCCAAATTGTATCAAAATTGATTGGTGGTGTTACAGATATTAGTAATACGTAACTTATTTTTAAAGAACTTACCACCTTGTATCCCAAAAATCAAGTCGCTTAAGACATACGTTCATATGGAGTTTTCTTCTTAAAATTGATCCAAAACTCGCCCCTTATTGGCATACAATTAGGAAACACTCTGTATTTATCTCTGAAGGTATATGTCTTACTGCTGAAAATCCGCAAAAACTATCTATTAGAAAGTATTGTTATGAAACGTTGCGGATGACTTGAATCATTTACATGGGAAACGGTATGTACAATTTGGATTTGGGTCTCATCAATGATAATACAGGTAATTAATATGCTTGAAGCTTAGTGTTATTGACTGTTTTATCATTCGACTGCGACGATAATGTAGATTGGGTGGACATTTATGTATACGATTAGATGTTACGTCACAGAAGCTCCTGTTTGAATTACCGATTTTACCATTTATGTCGTTATTTTATGATGTCGTTTTTGGATACTTTCTCCGTCAGGGCCAATGTTATGTTCATAAATAAGTATAATATGTTCGATAAGAAGAAATGGTATTTTAGATGATTATTATGTTATGTAATTTTTTATGATTTGTTAACTATGAACACTAGTCTTCATGTGCTATTCCAGACTATAATCTATCTCTACTGTTGTACTAAATTTCATTAAGATCCTTTTAGCCATTTTAGAGTAATATCGTTGGCTGTTGTCATGCATTTATACGTGACCAAAATACAAGCAAACATACCTTAGGTGCAATCACAGGTCACTTTCTCTGTCAGCGCCAATGTTATGTTCGAAAAGAATTATAATATGTTCGATAAGAAGAAATGGAACTTTGGATGATTATAATGTTATGTATATTTTTATGATATGTTAGCTATCCACACCAATCTACATGTTTTTTTTTTAATTTCCGTCGTCCTGTGTTAGTCTCCCTACTTCTTAATATTTTGGACACTGAATCTTAAATAGTGGAAAAGAAATGGTACAATAGTGCCAATGATGTTTGTTTCTCGAAAATAGCGATGAGATCGATTTTTAAAATTCCAACACATTTACAGAGTTTCCTTCATTTACTTAAGCATTCTAGTACCTTTAAATATACTAATCATTGTAAGTAGGATGAACTTCGTCTTGTTGTATTATCCTCGTATCACCACAGTTATTTGCTATAACCACAAATACTATGCAACATCGCAGGTCTTTGATGCACCTGGCATCACTGATTTTGCAAGTTTTTTTGTTTCGAGTACCGCGACAATTCATCCATTTAATATTTGCAGATCGAAAAGCTAATTCATCGTTGTTCACATGTATGACAAATTATAATACTTAAATCTCGTACGGTTTTTATTAGGGGTACTTCTTTTTTTTACACCGAAGCAGCCGCGCAGATAGCAGCCTAAATGCCAGGGCACCGTGGCTGCTATGAGGAGCTTAAAGAAGCTTTGTTAATCAGATTTTTGAACTACCCAAGGTTATTAGAACTGGGCAGAGCCTCCTTTTGTGGATTGTTCCACAACCTCGATGCTTGTTCCACAACCTCGATGCCCCAGGGATAAAGGAGCGTTCGTATCGGCCATTTCTGGATGTATGAAGATTGGGATGGTTAGGACGGAAGGCGGAAGTCAGGCAGATCTGTCTGGCAGGCACATCGCGCGGCAGCATCTTGGAGAATAGCTCTGAGGAGCAAAGCCCATTGGTATAGCGGTAGAACTTCAAGTTTTAATTAGTCTGTATACAAAATCATAAAGACCCGACAAAGACATCTTCTTGGAATGAATTCAAATCACCACCCGGCGCCTCATTTTTCGTCTATATATCTTGGTAGAAAGTTCTTGTGGGGATTCAGTCCTCTTGCCCACACCGCGGCGCGCGCCATACACCGTGCACGCCGTCCTCGCCTTGTTGATACCACTGCAGCCGCACTTCTGTGTCTTGTTTCAGTACGGGTGGAAGTGCAGGTGTGCGAACTGTGGAACGATCTATCGCGCGACATCGATATCGACATGAGGTGTATGACCGTGACTACGACCGCATTGGTACTAGTGGTGTTTGCGCTATGCTGGGGCTGGACTAAGCAGCAGTACTTGGATGAAGGTAGGTTAGATGCTGTTTTTTGTTCCGGAAAGTGGTACTATGGTATTTAAGTTATCTGTATCTATTTGTGTCATAGAGACCAACAGTTTTATGACCTACTGATATAGTCGTACATATGTAGCTGAATATAGCCAACAAGAGACAATAATAAGAAACTATATTATTGCTTATTTTCCTCATTTACAAAAATTTGGTGAAAATATTGCATCTTGTATACTTGTCTGATCCTCAAATACTTAATCAAATGTAAACATAGAAATTAAATGCTTACATGCCACAATTGTGGTTCAGATAATATAACTTAGCAATTTGCACACGTTTAAAATGAATATTTATTCTTTTAGAAGGTATAGAAGGCATTCTAAAGGCTGAGATGTTGCATTTCAGGAACAAATACGCTCGAAATAACAAAGCAAATATCCGATTAAATAGCAGCGAAAAAGTGAAAGAAAAGGAAAGCAATCACTGTTCACTTGATCAGAGATTTCAAGTACCGTCCTATCACATGTTCCTCAAAAATACCTTGTAAATTCGCCATTCAATTAAAAAAAAATATATATTAGTTCCTTATACAATTTGCAACTTGACGTTCCTGCCAATGGCCTGTTGTGACCCTAGCTTTGAACGAGATAGACAAATCGACACCGTGTAACAGCGTCTTGATAGGAAGACGATTTGAATACACCCGCGAAGCATTAGTGGTATTTTAAGACATTCATCGTAACATCGTATGAGCTTCATTATTGTTATAGGAATGTGCCATCTAATGGCAAGATCTAAAATCATGAATCTGATTAGTGATGTTTGTGAGCGTTTATGACTTCCACTTTCGGTTTGTCGTATGTGTTCTCATTTGTCGCACTGCTCCCAGATTATAGAAGTTCAATAACTATACCTTTTAATATTCTGGTAACTTATTTAAGCTAAACCAAAAAATACGAGGTATTTTTCCATGGATGAAATAGTTAGTAGCCTTTACGTTGAAAGACACAGAATGGGGCGCCTGTTTGCTCGAATAGTTTGCTACTAACAATATTGTTGATTATTTAGAGGTTACACATTCTTATCTGTGGCATTCGTGCTCCAAACGCAGCAAATTAACTCTTCCTGGAAAAGATCTCCTCTTTTTTAGTTACGAACATGTTTAATATGGAATCAAGCCAGTCAAACAAGTTCGTGAAATTATTCCATAGTCCTACCCATCTTGACACCGTTAAGATCTCCACTGCCCTACCAATAATACCGACCATATGGCAACCTTGCAAAGACTAATCTCATCACTCGCCCGCCATGACAACCACTCATTCGTCAGATCGCGATGCAGAAAATATTTTTCTATCGTGTAATCCATGATTAGCCATATGTCTAATACATGCGTAAAGTTACCGGTGTTAGATAGGCTTAAATATTAATGCGTCAAAAATTGGTATATACCCTCCCCCACTACCTGCAGCCCCTAACCCACCATTTTTACCCCTACTATCTTTCTTCTGAAAATTATCAGGTAAAAGAAAAGAAGTTGAGAGATTTTTTTAGGGGTTAAGTGGCCGAGTAGCAGTATGCCGAACTTGGCCCCCTAATGAAGGCCGCCTCTGGACTAATTTTCAAAAACTACAAAGCTTTCTTCGTCTTTAGCACATCAGTAAACTTGTGAAAAATGTTACCAAATTCTAAGCGGTACTTTCCAAGTTTTAGATGAGCCAATGTCAGACAGATCAACCGACATACCGACAGTAACGAGTGACATGGTATTTCATAATATGCATAACATATGACATCCAAGAAACAATACATCTCATTTTCCATTTTTCTGGCGGTTACAATACCTCATCGCCAGTGTCGCGAGAAGTAAAATATCACGACAAATTAAATCAGACGCTCTGCCAGTAACTTTTACGCGGCCTTGTTTGTGTAACTTTGTGTAACACTAGCACAATTGAATCGGAAAGGTAGAAGAGTTTCACCAAGTAATAAAATTTACTATCTGCAAGCCATCTTATGCCAAACATAAAAGAATGCAGCATTACCAATCCCACAGTAGCAAGTGTAACAAAAATGAGAACGAACAATTTATTCACGATTAAACGATTGCGATTTAAATACATAACCATGATAAATTGTCTGCATTAATTTATCTCTTACAATACGAGATGCATGCAAAGCGAGAAATTCTTAAGCTACGCCACAAATCACACTGTGCTATCATCGACTTCTTTGTGTGGGTTGACTCATACACGGTTACAATAGGAAACAAAACACGTGACTTGTAATTCATGTCTGGGTGCTGCATGTGTCGGCAGTTTGTATACGATGCTTGGGTGCCTTTATTCGCAAGAAAAAGTATGGCTGAAAACTTATTTTTTGTACATATTGTTACTTGCGACTTCGTACGGTTAAAATTGTTAAAATAACTAAAATTTGTTTACCAACACATTAGATTAAGCCAAATTTTACATTGTAAAAATACCTCTCTGCCAAGACTCTAATTAGAAGAGTTAAATATAAATACAAAAGTGAAAAATTGTGTCATCTAACAAAATTATTGTATGGAGGAAATTTACTTAAACAATTTTTTACCGGGACTTCTTTATTGATATTTGAAATATTTAGTTTGATTGGTTTATTATTACCTCGTTTTTGCAACAAAGTAATCACAGAAAGAACCACTCCTTAAGGTTAGTTTAATGCAAACAAACAATTTTTAAAAAAGTGTTACAGGACACCTTTATCAACTTGTGTCACATATTCGCCCATGTCACAAAATCCATTTTCAGTTCAACTATAGTCTTTGGCAATATCCAATTTTAGGTATCCAGCAGGAATTTTAAACTCGCAAGCACCCTTTAAAGCTAATAATACAACCCTGTTGCAAAATCCTTTATTAGTTGACATGTACTATCCATGTACCACCTTTCTGCCAAATTTCATGTAGGTACATAGGTTAGTTTTCGAGATCTCGTGATTAACACTTTTGTACATATCTGTCCTTAGCGCCCCACTTAATTCAGACCTGTTGCGGAATCAGTCCTGAACTGACATGTCCTGCCCATAAAGTACCTCCATTCAAAACTTCGTCGTCATATAAATTCCTATAAGTCTAACCTGAAAAGACAAGGGGTTCCCCATAGAAATATTTAGCCCCTACTACCTCACTTCAATGATACAATTTCTGGAATTCTTTATTAATATTGTTTATTTTAGACAAAGCTCATTCCTACTTGTAGGCTGTCCTAATTTAAAATTTTAAAATCTTATAGGTTTTAAGTCTCAAGTGTATTAACCCCCACTTTACCCTATAAGTATCGACTTTTCAAAATACCTTTGTACGTGCTCATTTAAGACATATCAAAGAACCAAATATAAAAAATCCATGTCTGTATTTTCAATTTGAAAAATAATAGCTTCTCGTGAAAGCGAAACCTACAAATACAAATTTATATACCCTCACTCATTTCGATCGGATCAGCGACTAAGTGCTTCTTTGCCAGACACCCAATGTCAAACTCTGTTAAGCCGTTTGGACTGTAGACCGTAAAATAAATATTTCCAACTTATTTACGGTGAAAAAAAGTAGCCTATGTGCTATTCCAGACTATATATCTCTACTATTGTACAAAACTTCATCCAGCCAATTTAGCGTAATATCATTGGCTGTTGCCATGCATATACATATATACGTGACTAAAATACAAGCAAACATGCCTTAGGTGCAGTCACATGTAGGAGGAAATTAAAAAGTCAATGTATGTATATCCGACTGTCAAGTGTTTAAAATGGACCACCTAAACTATAAATCAAAACAAATGATATATCGATTGTAGTGAAGGTGCTGATTTTAATAAGAATGCATTTCAACACATATGTCGTACCTATTGATAAGCTTTCGATTGTATTGATGCTGGTATGAAATAGTAAGCGTCACAAGGCTAAAAATAAAAGAGGGTGATCAACAAAAAATAAATGTCTATTGAATAGGGCTCCATCTACTTACCTCACCAAATGTCTTTTCATGGGTTTTGGCGGGTCGTATTTATAGAATATAGGTAGGTCTTCCATACTTAGCAATAGATGATACATATCGGACGAAACTTCATAACAAAAACAAAGCAAGTGTTTTGACTAATTATATGTATATAAGATAAAAATTACTAAACTAGTTACTCAACATCGTAAATACTAAAAAGTAAAAAATAAATAAAAGAAAAAACAGCTTCAATAACAATCATTCAACATTAAAAAAATAAAAAGAACTAGGAGATTACAAATGATCCTTTTGATTGGAAATATTCTCTTTTATAGTTTTTAACATTTAAACCATATTGATGAATTTTTTTAGTTTTTAAATAAACTCCTGTTACATTTAAACAGCAAAAAAGAAGAAGACTGTAAAAATCTTTTATATGAAAACTTGAGTCGAAGGAGCTTCAATATAACAGTCAAAAAGCTTGTTAATGGAAACTCTATCTATTGTCTTGTCAGGTAAGAATCTCATGTTTCAAGATTTACTAGCAACTAGCCTATGTATTAATACCGATTGGTACCCACACCAAAGCCTTGCAGCACACAATGTGTGGCATTAATCCAAGTGTAAAAAATTACAACAGGCTTATTTGTATATTATATATAGACATACAATAATGCATAGTGTAGGTACATTATAGTTCCGTGAGGTCATTAATCAAAATAAAGTAATAGTTAGATGATAACTGCATGGAAGTGAAAAATTGTACAGAATCTGGTGGCGTGAGGAGGTGTTGACATTGACTAATTAGAATGAATAGAAGTTTGGTGTCTTGCGGCAGTTATTATCTAGCTCTTATTGTACGCCTTCATTTGAGCCTGAAGACATGGAAGCTTGACATGACGGCATTGCCAAGAACGCTACAGATGATGTACCAAACCGAGCCAATGTGGTTAACTGGAATTAAGTTAGTATCAACTAGGAATTTCTGACTACCAGGGACTGTCATCCAATAACATCTGAAACATATTAAGTGATTTTTACGATGATAATTATACCTTGATTTTCTTTATGTCTAAGGATGTACGAATACCACGTCATAAGTTTTGTCTTATTACAACTACGATGCCAACCAAAATCAATAGTTTTTCCATTTCTCACTGCTTCTTACTTTATAATTAACTTCGATAATTCTCACCGTGGTATATCAACTGGAAACGCCAAAATAAAAAATTATTTGGTGAAGATAAGCTGTCACTGAGAATCATTCATAGATTTTGAATGAAGCTTATTTAATTTAGGATCCACAATAGTTCAGGGCGGTCCACAGTGTGGCGCCCAATGGACAAAATTACTCAAAAACATAATTTTTGACATTAGAATTCTGTTGCTTTTATTATACCATTGGATAGATAAATAGTCACTTCAACACGTAAGTATAGTACTTTAATCAAGTTGGCTGCGATTTACCTATTTTAGCAACTTTAAAGTTAGACATGTCGAGACCTGTCAAGAAGGCGAAAAATCTCTCTGTTTTATTGCTCGGGAAAGATATAAATTTTGTGTCGAAATATTTAAATATTTTAGCTTTTCCAATATGGCTGGTAATGAGGCTGGTAAGTACATTATATTGATGAATAGATTTATTTAAGATATACTTATAATTAGATAATTTTTTAAGTTAAAGTGACTATTACCGATTTTTTTAATTTTTTTTTAAACTTTTGACTTTGATTAGAGTTTTACAAAAATCACCTCCCAGCACTCTAAATTTTTTTTTTATTTATTGTTTATCTGTCCATAGTAAGTTTTGATAAGAAGTTTAAATCACGTCATGCCACGTCTAAGGGAGATATAATTTTTTTTAGGATATGGTGCTATTGTCAGAAATAGAGATTTGATTGATGTGTGGATAGAAGCACCGAGAGGAAATAGAAAACAGGTGGTTTATGAAAAGATATTATCTCTTATTGATATAACAGATGAACCTTCTAAACATCTTAAAAGTAATATTATGAAATGCAGCCAGTTGTTTGGGTTGAAAATGGCAAATAAATGGCAGAAAGTAGGACAATCTCGGAATCGACTTTTACAAAATCAGGTATATTGGTTAGACAAGATTATATATAGAATAAATAATGATTCTGAAGAAAACACATCTTCGGATGAGGAACAAGAACCTCCTTGTCGCTCAGTTGGACGGCCACGGGTGCCATTTGAAGAGGCATCGAAGAAAACAAAACGAAGACGTGTAGCCGAACTAACCACAGACAGATCTGCAAATGAACTTCAATTTGCTGTAAATGTCGTTTCTGGAAGCAATCACAGTGAGGTCTCGCCACAAATTTTTAGTTTTAGTACAGCTGAAGCTTTAGCCCTTATGGTAGATTTGGATATATCCGTAAGAAAGTATTTGCTACTTAGGTCTGTTATTAATGGTAAGGCCCAGAACTGCCTTTCTAGTTATAAAGAATTACAGAAAACAAAAAATGCTATCCTCCCTTCACAATTTATTATTACTGAAATTTCTGCAGAAGTTGATTTGCAAGAACTTCTACAGAAAACAGCTGAAAGTATCCTTGAAATAATAAATTTTGAAGAGAGAGATTGCCGGATTAAAGTGATATGCAAGTGGGGATTTGATGGCAGTTCTGGGCATAGCCAATATAAGCAGAAATTTTCTGATTTAGAAAACACCGACGAATTTCTGTTTCTTGTAGCAATGACGCCACTCAGATTGATTGATATGGAAACGAATAAGGTATTGTGGAAAAATGAGAGCCCTTCATCTACTTTATATTGTAGGCCGATCAAGTTTTTATTTAAAAAGGAAAATGCTGATTTAGTGCGGAATACGGATTCCTATTGAGATTAAAACAAAATAACTCTTATATAATTGAAGTTGATATGATGTTAACAATGTTGGACGGCAGTGTTGGAAACGTTCTATCAGAGACAAATTCAACTATGAAGTGCATCATTTGCGGAGCCACACCCAAGGACATGAACACGTTAGCAGGGATTAACCGTCCTCCTAACGTAGACAATTACCGGTTTGGTTTGTCAACTTTACACTGCTGGATTCGTTTTTTTGAATGCTTACTCCATATTGGATACCGCCTGCCAATTAGATCTTGGCAGGTTCGTGGGCCTGAAAACAAAGCTATAGTCGAAGCAAACAAAAAACGAATCCAAGCAGAGTTCAGAGCCAAGCTGTCTCTAATAGTTGACAAACCAAAACCCGGGTATGGCTCCTCAAATGATGGCAATACGGCCAGAATTTTTTTCCACAATCCACAAACAAGTTCAGATATCACAGGGGTTGACAGGGAATTAATCGAGAAATTTGCGATCATCTTAGGAGTGTTAGCTAGTGGTTGCGCTATTGATATGGAAAAGTTTGCGTCATTGCTGGAAGAAGCAAGAAATTTGTATATCCACCTTTATAAGTGGTACAACATGCCAAACACGGTACATAAGGTCCTTGTTCATGGGTGTGAGATAATTGATGAATTTTGTTTGCCCATTGGAGAACTGTCGGAGGATGCGCTTGAGGCTCGCCATAAAGAGTTTAGGAAACATCGATAATTTCACACCAGAAAATGTTCAAGAACAGATACGAATAAGGATCTCATGCGTGTTCTTTTACTTACTTCTGATCCTTTTGTATCCTCAAAAAGAAAGGTGAGCTCAAAAAAATATAAGAAATGCAACGAGGCAGTTCAGAACTATTTAAAAAAGTAAGAATATGATGATTTAGGTATTGACTTAGGTACAATAACGAATGACACAGCACCGAGCAAGAAATCCTATTCCGATTAGAATGGGTATATTTGGTGTTATTTTTTTAATATAGTTTATATTATTATTTCATACATTACCTACTAAGTAATTGTTATTTTGTTAAATATATTTTTTTAAATAAAAACCCAAATATCAGTTTCAAATTATACAGATTAATTTTTTATTTGAATTATTCTTATTATTTTTTCAAATAGATAGACAAATTTAATAAATCATATTGCGCCCGCCACAAGTTGGCTACATTATCTTTTAAATCATTCGGTAAAGATCTTGAAAAATAAAAGCGTGACTTTTTTGTCTCTCTTAAGAATGCTATAATAATATCCTACCTTATCCCAATTTATTCGAGATCATCAACTTAATATTTTGACTTCTTATTATTTTAAATAATTTTTGTCATACTTTAGAAAGCTACTTAAATAAGTAATCGCCCTGCGTTTACAGAATTCAAATAGGACCATTAGTTTTTAAGATATCGAATTTTGTCCCTGATCCCTATAAAGGAACACACTGTACGGTCGCTGGAAGTCCTAACCAAAAAGAGCGTATAACGTGCGAAACAAGCCATAACGTACGAAACAAGCCATAACGAAAGACATGAATAACATATAGACAGCAAAAACTCGGTACATTTCTGAAAGAAGCGTTGGGCGAATTATATGAGAAGGTTAGCAATATGCCAAGAGTACTGAAAAGATTTGAATCTGTAGAAAACAGTAGTGTAAATTCAACCATCCCAGATGATGACAAACTATTTTTCTTTGATGTTCCAAATAGAGGACAAAGCCCGCTCTGCCTTGCTGAAAACTAAGGTCTGCGTGATCCGTGTTAGAAAGTAGCAATCGATTGGAAAAAGGAATGACCCTGTCTTCTTTTATAAAATCAGATTTAGTGTCAAACATGGTGCTTGATAAAGGGCTAGACGGTACATAGAAGATAGTTTGCCAGGACTGTTTGCGGCACGGAGAACTATAAGGCCTTGATGGCAACTCCACTCGAGTCATTTTCACATTGACAACCCATTGGTGCAAAGCGATCAGACATCAGCTTTTTGAAGAGTGAAATATGGGGGAATACGTGGCTTTGAGCGTTCAGTGTCAACTGAAAAATAGCTTATTTTCGTTTCATATTCATTATGTGACAGGCTCAGATAATATTTTGATTTTGACAGCATTTTTAAGTACTAGAGAAATATGTTTTGTCAGAGGGGTGTCATTTAAACTATCGAAAAGATACTTTAAATATGATATATATACACAAGCACACTATTCAGACCCTCTGGGCTGTGATCACTATATTTTTTGGTAGCGGGTCACAGGCGTAACTTTCATTGCTTATAGTATTTTTTATTGTAGAGAAATTAAAAAAAGTGAAAAGAAGGAAAAGAAGAAGAGAATAAAAATAAATGACATGAAAACTGCCAGAGAAGTGACGCCAGGGTAGTTACAAAAACGTACGCCACGAAGGTTAGAATACATTATTTATTATATTATTGTACCTGATTCATGTTTTTTGTATTCGGAAATCGTCGTTTTTTACATAGTTGCAGGAATGTACTATTGAAATTCACAAAGTTGTACCTACCAGGGTAAGTACCGGAACCACTGACAAAATGGTATAGGTTGACACTACGTGAGCAGCTGACGCGCTCCTGGTTCAGTTGGCCAAATAGCGCTAGTTCCATACTACCATTTCCTGATTTTCTACGTATTGGACAAGGTCAAATCGCGTAATTGTTACATTTACACAAAAATATACAATTTGACTTACGCCAGGATCCACTAAAAACGTGTTTTTTATACGTTTGTATACATTTCTGGTGTCCTTTTTCATGGAAACATAATGTGTATTCATCAATAGAAAGAGTATTCGCATACTGTTGTACCAGTTACATATTAGGAGATTTGTTGATATTTGTAGCGAAAATCGCGAATGGTATATGTTGGTTTTAAAGCACACTGTGCGTGTCTTAATCGTAACGTTCATTACATCATTTGTCCCAAATAAAGCATGGTACTTTTCACGATTTGGATAGTTGGCTTCCACAACTTCACCATTTGCTTAAGATTTTTTTGGCAGAATATTGGAATCCCAAATATTGTATATTCACCTATACTTGTGTTGGATCATCTCCTTTCTAACCCTGTCTTCACGCCCTGGGAGTTTGGCTTTTTTACCTCTGCAAAGTTACAGCGGAAAAGGCGCATGTTTGTATCCAAAGATGAGTTGAGAGATGTGTGATTATATGTATAAGAAGCAATGAAAACGCTGGTGTGTTAGCTAGATCTAGCATACAGTGGAGTGTACTTAGTAAATTATTTTGTGATTAGTGATTAGTTTTTTCATTGGACAAAACGTACGTACTACAGATTTGAAAAACTTGGGATCAACAGACGTCTACTCCTTGTTCGCCCAAAGCTGCAAACTTTAATGATGGACCTTTCGTGACTCATGGCGTCCTGTACTACAACCATATTGTCACTTTTTCTTTATTTATTCAAGCGAAAAAGTCTCGATTTCGTACTAACAACAAAACAAGTTCCGGTGCTGCAACGATATCATGTTTTTTAAATTCGTATTTATAAAACATAATATATGCCTATTTGTCAATTGTTTCCGAGATCAAATTTCAATCAACCATAAACCTACTTCGATTTACCCAATATTCAATTGGAATTAAAATTAACTACTCCATTGTCGAACAATAATCGCATTCTTCTAATACACAAGCCTACTTTACCTTAAACGATCAATAAGTTATGAACAGAGCACTTCTTCTACGCAATTATCAAATCTATTGTATTCAGTCAAGCTGGATTGCTATTGCTAAATACTAAATCTTTTTTATATAGCATAATATGGTTTACTTGCCTAAAGTCTTCACAACAGGTTATAATAGCAAGCAGTTTGAATGGGTTTTGTTGTATTACAAATCGAATAAAGATAATTGAAATACGGCATAAAAAGTGCTTAGGAGCAGCGCAGATCTTATTTATAGAGCGCCATCAAGAATGAGTGAGGAAATGTGGGAAGAGCCTGTATGATAAAAACAGATTTATGGAAATTAACTATGCTTGTATTTATGAAAAACAGAATAATATTTATTTGATTTTATTTATATCTGCCCTTATCCAGACAAAACCTACTCCTACTTCTAGGCTGACTTAGTTTAAAATATTCTAAAGAGTTAACCCTCACTTTACCACTTAGGGCTGGAAATTTCAGAATTTCATTGCAAATTCTCATTTGCATTATTTCGAAGATCCAAAATAAGAAACGCATAATTTATCTCTAGCTTGGATAGTAATAGTTTCTCCATAGTAACTTTACCCCGTTTTTCAAGCCCTTCAAATCTTATTTTTGCAACATAAGGTAGCCTGAGTTCGTATCCAAGGTCCAATCTATGGGGCCGTTGAAGTATCACGTGAGTACTATGGGCGGGCGGGGGGTTCTTGGCTTTGCTTATTTTGGATGACATGGGGGGTACGGGAGTCTAGATGATGATTACGTCATCGGTAGTTATTTACTTTTTTACACGAATGGCAACCCTCACATTGTCTTAGCTTGAAAACGAAACGCATTTTCGGAGATTCTCGCAAATAATGCATATGTTACGTTTAGTGAACAGCGCGCGGTAATTCCCCTACTCGGTTCTAAAGCGCGGTGTTCACTTGTCTAAATTTTCTCTACCAGTGTATTGTTTCGTTTGGATACTCTAACGAGTAGACGTATTGTAAGCATAGTAAAGCAATTTAACATTTGTGTTACCATTTTTAATGTTTAAATAAGATGTCGTTTCACATAGACAAATCCAAGTTATACCAAAAATTGTTCGAAAGTTTTAAAAAATCTCGTACAATTACGAAAGTACAAAATGTACAAAAGTTAGTTAACGAAGTGTGGCGAAATTACAAAATTACAAGCAAAATCCGACAAGGAACTAGATATTATTGTATCTAAGAGAATCGAAGAAGAATTGCAAGCAGCGACTAAGAATAAATCCAATCTGCTAAATTTTTTTTCTAAGGTGAGTGGCGAAATCATTTTAGGTATCTATGAGTACTAGAAATATTAGAAATCGCCAAAAATCTCTTTACTGATTAGAAAATATTATGGCCTATCTCAAAGTATAGAGGTGATATTCATTATATTATAGATTTATTTCTTATGATTGATCCCGTCAATTGGTCACAAAGTACAGGATGTTAGTTTTATACATATATACAGAAAACTAACACCCTGTATTTTGTGACCGGAACGAATTGCTCGTTTAAACATATTAGATTTAAAGCCATAGGGTTTTGTATTTTCCATACTTTGTATTTATGTAGCTTTATAAGACAATCTTTAGCAGAAGCCGTAGAAAGTTTTTATTTTTAGGCAACCTGTAAACCTGCAGAAAAAACACAAATTATACAGTCAGATTCAAATATTAAAAAAGAGGAAGAAGAAACCCGGTAATGAATCACAACAGCAATGCGAAATTAAAGAAAATACAGATAAACAGAGAGCAAAACCTTCTCAGGAAGTTATGAAAAATAAGATTGCTCTACTCGAAAAAAATCTGAATGCTTTGTATTCTGCCAGAGATACTATGCTAAGCCGTGCTGAAGTTGACAAACAGATCATTAAGTTGCGCGAGGAAATAAAAACAGCAAAACAGTCTTTAAACAGGAAGGTTCAAAACGCAGTTGCCCAGAAAAAATACAGGGATGGTATGAAAGGAAAGTTAGAAGATATTTGTCATGAAAATCCAGAAATAAAAAAAGACTATCACTGAGGGAGTCAGTGGGACGTCCTAGTCTTGAAAGCAATCAACATTCAGTATTGAAAACAATCGCGGATATAGCTTTATTTGGGAGTGCAGCAGATGATAGAAGACGAACGGAATCAATTCGCAGCGTAAAAACTCTTGACGAACTCACACAAGAATTACGTAAAATAGGATTTGACATTAGTCGCCGTGGGACATATCTTCGTTTGATTCTCAGAAAATCTAATTTTGCAGAGGGACGAAGACATGTATCGACAGTCCCTGTTAAGCTCATTCGGGCTCAAACTGATCACCACAAGAGCCACTTAGATAGCAAGTTCGCTGAAACATCAATCCATTATTTAGATAACATAGCATCCATACTTGGACCAGATCAAGTATTTTTCATACCTCAAGATGATAAAGCTCGAGTCCCTATTGGCGTAACTGCGGCAAATAAGCAAGCACCTCTTCTAATGCACATGGAATATAGAATCAAATTGCCTGATGACGATTGGGTAATCGCTGAGCGTCATAAATTAATACCATCTGTTTATGCTGGTATCAAAATCACTTCCAATATGCTAGGACAACCGCGAGCCGTTGGATATTTTGGACCAACATACATCGCTATTCGAAGTTGAAAGCATAGTTCATCTACTACTAATACTCATGCTCAGGATTTCGAGACGCTTCTCGAACTTGAATAGTTTCGACCATTAGCTAAAACTGACCATGGACTAGTAAAACCGGTGGTAATCATGACGGTTGATGGAGGGCCAGATGAAAATCCACGTTATCAAATAGTCATAGGGTTTGCTATACAACACTTTAAGCGACATGATCTCGATGCATTGTTTTTAGCTACCAATGCTCCTGGAAGAAGTGTGCGTATAACAGAGTAGAGCGCAGAATGGCTCCTCTTAGTCGGGAACTGGCTGGTTTAATATTGCCTCATGACCATTTTGGGTCTCATTTGGATGAACGTGGCGTTACAATTGATGAACATTTAGAAAGACCTAATTTCGAATTTGCAGGAAATGTATTAGTATGGAGTTCAATGGAAATTGATGGCTATAATGTTAATGCAAAATATCTTGGGGAAGGTGAACAAGATCTTCCTGATTTTCCAGACATTAAATGGTATTCAGAACATGTGCGTGAGAGCCAATACTTGCTTCACATTTTAAAATGTAAAAATACAGAATGCTGTCGTCCAAGAAGTGGCCCATTTAGATTACTAGACAATAGGTTTCTTCCACCACCTGTAAAGTAAAACAAACAGTTGACGACTTGGTTTTGGATGAAGGAGGGCAATTTCTTAATCTTCCAGTCAATTTTGCTCTACGCTTAAATGCTTCACTCCCTACGATTATATTTGTCCGACGGTAAAATTGAGGCTATCAAGTCGAACATGCAAAACGTGTGGTCTTTATCATGCTTCCGTCAAGTCACTAAATCGTCACATCGAAAATATCCATAAAAAAGTAAACACGTACACTGATAGGAAAGCTAGACCTAGAGTCGCTTCTCGTTGTGCTAATGAACTGATGTGCATTATTCAAATTTTAGAGCACCATGATGTTGAATGGCTCGATGAGAACGACGTAGACATTCCAAAATCCGATGACAGCCAGCAAACTCACAACACTGAGCAGCAATCGAAGCAATCCAATGTCATTCAAAACTTAGAATCATGGATTTAGGTTTCATGGACTGCAGACTTGATTTGAATTTAATATATGTACCAAAAATTTAAAATAAGTTTGTTATGTTTGTAAGATATAATATTTTTGTCCTTTACTCTATGTTGGATACCGTAGCAGTAAAATATAATCTGTATCCTAAATCTATTTTCTTATTTTTCAAATTATAATTGTAACGTTATAATTATAATATTAAAAAAAAACGATTCATTAATTGTAGCTTTGCTTACTTTTGCTGACAATGGGGATGGGGGGTAAATAATTGTAATAAATCTGCTTTTGGAATACTTGAACGGCCCCTATACATGGTGTCTGCGAAAGGTTGGGAAATCTCGGAACTGGAGATACTACAGACCAAAATATGTGAATTGACCTTAGTCCAAAAGATGATAGATTGCGAGTTACAATTTTATTTTCTATTTCTATTGGTTGAGAAGTATGCCAGCTTTTGACATAAAATTCGGTATAGGGAGCTTCTCTAGTATGAGAAACAAGAATTCGTTAATTTTAATGGCCAAGCTTATAGAGGGCGCCACTTACAGTACTATCTCGGGAAATAACTTATCATAACTTTTTTGTGCTACCCTGAATACAACAACTGACCAAAAAAACTTATTTTCTCGTATTTCCACGACAAAAAAGGTTTACTTGTTAAAAGTGTCTAAAGCTAATAGTTTTCGAGATATTTGTTTTTAAAGGTTCCAATGCATTATTTGTACCATGATAACAAAACATTTTTATATCATAATAGTCAAGTTGCTTTGGATAATATCTGAGTAGCGTTGCTATGGTTTCTAATGTTTGTCATAATATTGCTATTAACTTCATGAATAATTTTAAGATGACAATAAGTTGTTAAACATCATGGAGTATACGTTTGATGAATATTCTGATATGCATTTAATGTACGGGTTGGCAAGATGTAATGCTTCAAAAGCACGAAGATTGTACGCTGACAAATTCCCTGATAGACACCTGCCTAATTCAAAGACCTTCCAGCGAATCGGTCAGCGGTTACAAGAAACTGGTAAGAAATTATTTTGAGTAGTAAAAACCATTTGGATTTTAGGTAGTTTTACTCAAGATATGGGCCAACATAGTGGAGCTCCCAGCACTGTTGAAGAAAATGTTTTAGATGCTGTATTTGAAAATCCTACAGTTGGGGTTAGGAATGTAGCACGAGAATTCAAGTTTCCAAATGTACAGTAAATACCATTTTTCAAGAGCAACTGCTCCATCCATACCACTTGCAAAAGGTACATGGTTTAAGCGCGGGTAGAATTTTGTACATGGTTCTTAAGGAAGTATAACCACAACAATGGTTTTACTATATTAACTCGCATAATCATCACATTTATGCAGACGAAAATCCTCATGCGATAATACATACCCGACACCAAGTACAATTGATAATTAATTTAAGATCAGGGATAATAATACAATATTTAATAGGACCCGTTGAGTTACCACCTAGACTAAATGGCCAAAGGTATTTACAATTTGTTACAATTACCCACTCTGATTCTTCCATTACAAACACGCATGAATATGTGGTTTATGCACGATGGCGTTCCACCTCATTTTAGTATATTAGTTAGAGAGTACCTAAATAGAGTTTATCCAGACCAGTGGATAGGTCGATCAGGACCAGTACCGTGGCCGTGACCTAGATCATCAGATTTATATCCTATGGATTTCTTCTTCTGGGATGATTTAAAACGACGCGTTTACAGTACGCCAGTGGAAACTGTGGATGATATTCGACAAAGAATTTTCCACAATAGCCAGGAAATGAAAAATAGCATCCAAATGCAACAGGGATTAGTTCGTCGAGCTCGAGACTATGTTAGGCAAGGTGGTGCTTGTAGTATATTAAGTACGCCCCTGGTTCCCCGAAAATTGCGCATGTACGAAGAGTACTCTGACCGGGATACGTTAAACACACAGTATGTCGGGGTTCCGGATTTGTAACAGTTATCGGTGATATATAATAAACCATTAGTATACTTCCGGGTATTATTGATACCAACTAAGACATTACATGGCGACGAGGGTTATTAAAGAACTCGCCGGGTAAGGTTAAGTGTGTGTAAACTCCCCGTTTGTGTTGAAACCTCCAGTTGTTGGTGAACCAATCTGTGCACAAGAAAGATGGCAGTTGCAGCAGCGGGTCCCGTGCTCACATTCAATCCCAAGGAGAACGAGTGGGAAGTTTTCTTCAAAAGGTTAGAGCAGTATTTTATAGTACACGGGGTCACTGAAGAAGCTGACAAGAGAGCTCATTTGCTGTATAGTTTGTCTGAGGAGGCGTATATTTTATTAGAAAATTTATGTATGCGGCAAAAGCCGGAAGAAACCCCATACCAAGACATAGTTCAGTTATTGTCTAACTACTATGGTAAAACTGCTGTTGTATGGGTCGAAAGGCAGAAGTTTTATAGTGCATCCAAATCAGGAAATGAGACGGCACTAGAATGGAGTGTACGACTTAAAGGTTTAGCTCGCTATTGCAATTTTGGTCAGCAGCTTGAGTCCAAGCTAACGGACATTTTTGTTACGCAGTTCAATCCTGGGAAGGTGAGAACTGAATTATTCAGCCTAAACGAGAACACCACCTTAAATAACGCTGTTGAAAAGGCCAAAATTATCGAAGCCACGCTAGTAATAAGAGACCCAGTTGGTGAAGTTAAAAGCGAGGTCTTAGAATCCGATGTTTTTCGAATTACACAAAATAATTCAAATGTTGGTGCCACTGGCGATCAACATCAAGATCCTCAACGGTATCATAGAGGGACAGCAGTACCTGCAGCGCAGCGGAGCCAAGGAGGCACGCGCAGGAGTGGGGGCAACAGCTCAAACATGGCGCTGCCACAGCTACAGCCGTTCACATCGTCTGGTCGCTCTCCGGGCTGTTTCCGCTGCGGGAGGAACCACAACAGTAATGTATGCCCCTATAAGGAATATATTTGTAACTCTTGTCACGGTAGGGGTCATCTCAGTGTGGTGTGTAAAAAGAAAAAACAATCCTCACCTAAGCACGTTAATTATGTTTTTCCTAATAATGATATTGCTGAGGATTATACAGACGTTTTTTCATCCCCAGTTCTAAGTATTTCTAGCTTAGGAAGCAACAATGATGTGCCACTATATATCGATATTTTAGTTGAGAATGTCATGTTGAAATTTGAACTTGACAGTGGATCAGCTGTTAGTGTTTTGCCACTTCATGTTTACAAAACATATTTTGGTGCTCACGTCATGAAAAAAACAAATGTTTCCTTGATTAATTTTTCTGGCAATAAGATCATCCCACATGGCACAATCAACTTAAATGTTAAATTTAATTTCAAAGATAGCATCCTACGCTTTTTTGTTGTTGATGGTAACAATCCATTGCTCCTAGGTCGTGATTTTATTAGGAATTATAATATGGGATTTAGAGAAATTCATTATTTGAACAACGATGCTGTTGATGCTCTATGTAATGAGTTTCCTGGCGTTTTTGCAACCAATTTGGGAAGGTTCAACAAGTGTAAGATCTCCATAAATATTAAACTTGATGCAAGTCCCATTTTCCATAAACCTAGACCGTTACCATTTGCAATTAAAGGTAAAGTGGAGGAGGAATTAGATAAATTAGTCTCTAATGGTATAATATCTGCAGTGGAGTTTTCAGAATGGGGTACCCCAATAGTACCAATTTTGAAGGAAGATGGAGGAATAAGAATTTGTTGTGATTATAAGGTAACTATTAATTCAGCTATTCTAGTGGACAAATTTCCCTTGCCTAGAATTGACGATTTATTCACAAAACTGAAAAATGGAAAGCAATTTTCCAAAATTGATCTCTCATCGGCTTACAATCAAATAGAGCTCGAAGACTCTTCAAAAAAATTTACGACTATTTCGACTCACAAAGGTTTATTCGAATTCAATAGATTGCCGTTTGGAATAAACTGCGCTCCAGCACAATTTCAAAGAATTATGGAACAGCTGTTCAATAAAATGCCCCGTGTATGTGTTTTTCTTGATGATATTTTAGTTACAGGTATCGATAAAGAAGATCATATTAGAAATTTGAAAAGGGTTTTACTTTGTCTTTCCGAATGTGGTCTCACTGTTAGAAAAGAAAAGTGTGTGTTTTTGGCTGATTCCATTTCATATTTAGGGTTTGTTATAGACGAGACAGGCCTACATAAAAGTTTAGATAGAGTTAAGGCAATACGCGACATTTCTCCACCAAAAAATGTCACTCAACTTAAGTCTTTTTTAGGCAGTATCACTTATTATAATCGTTTCATCAGAAATCTCCCAGATATACTTCACCCTTTATATAATCTTTTGAAAAAAGATGTAAGTTGGTCATGGGATAAAACATGTCAGGATTCATTTGAGTATATTAAACTTGCATTATGTTCTGACGATGTGTTGGTGCATTATAATCCTGACCTACCAGTTACTTTGACTATTGATAGCTCGGACTATGGAGTGGGAGCAATTTTATCTCATGTTTTTGAAAACGATGTCGAAAAGCCAATTTGTTATGCGTCAAGAACTCTCTCGAAAAACGAATTGGCATACTCTATTTTGGATAAAGAAGCTACCGCGATTGTTTGGAGTATTAAACGATTTTACCAATATTTGTGGGGTAGAAAATTTACCTTGGTCACAGATAATAAGGCACTCATGTCAATTTTTGGACCTAAAACGGGTGTTCCAATGATGGCAGCAAATAGACTCCAGAGATATGCACATTTTCTGAGTGGCTTCAATTTCGATATCAAGCATGTGTCATCCATTCAAAATGTAGCTGACTTCTTAAGCAGAATGCCGATTGAAGATGACATGTCTGTGCAACTGATCGACTTCCCCATTCATTTAAATTATCTCACTAATTCCGATTCTAGTATACCAGTCGATGTTAACAAGGTCAGAGAACTTACATCCTCAGATTCAGTACTTTCTGAGGTACTCAATTTTGTTAAAAAGGGGTGGCCTGCAAGTCATAAAAGTAATGAATTGAAACCTTATTTCAGTAGGAAAAATGAAATCAATGTTGAAGACGATGTCCTGCTTTGGGGACATCGAGTTATCATACCATTTCAGTTACGAGAGGTGATATTGAAGGAGTTGCATGCTACCCATTTGGGAATTGTTAAAATGAAGTATCTTGCGAGATCTTACTTTTGGTGGCCGTCCTTGAATGATGATATTGAAAGTGTTAGTAAGCAGTGCAACATATGTCAACGCTTGCAATCATCGCCGGCCAAGGCACCGTTACAATGTTGGCAAATACCCGAGGGCATTTGGTCGCGGATACATATAGATTTTTTTGAACCGAAGAAAAACAATTTCTTTTTGATTGTCGTTGATGCCTTATCCAAATGGCTTGAAGTATTTCCGATGGCATCTGTTACCACTAACATGACTATTACAAAGCTGCGAGAACTTTTTTCTAGATTTGGATTGCCTAAGACTATTGCAAGTGATAATGGTCCCCAGTTAGTGTCAGAAGAATTTAAACAATTTGCAAATGTTAATGGTATTAAACTAATAACTATTCCGCCTTATGAACCTCATTGTAATGGTGCAGCTGAGAATAGCGTAAAAACTGTTAAAAATTTTTTGAAAAAGGTTAGTGATCAAAAGAACTGTAATTTACTATTAGCTCAATTCCTTATGACATATAGGAATACTGTTCACTGTTCTACTGGTTATTCTCCTGCTAAAGTATTTTTAGGTCGTTCGTTGAGAACTCGATTTGACATGCTTAGACCAAGCTCAGTCCAAGACAATGAAAAAGTTGAACTTGAAAATGTTTACCAAAACATACAACGTTCTCAACGAAGAAACGCAAAATACTTCAGAGGAAATAGGAAAGTATGTTTTAATATTGACCAAATTGTGTTGGTTAAAGATTATCGCGATAAACAAGTAACTTGGTGTAAAGGACAAGTTGTTAAAATTTTAGGGAAAAACGTTTACGTTGTTCGACCACTAGATTCAAATTTCCTTTGGAAAAGACACACTAATCAGATCAGAGAACTAAATGATGATTATTCGTTGGTCTACCCACCCTGCGTGGAGCTACCGCACACTGTAAACGTTTTTTCCAATAGTGATGGCGCCAGCAATACTTCTGCCGGTAGTTCGGTTGATGATGTGTTTGTGGATGCCGGAATCGCGGATAGTGAACGCGTGGATGTCAGTGACTCGGATTCTAGCTCCATTGGTGAACAGGCTGAACTTACACGACCCATACGTATCCGTAAGGTACCGGATAGGCTCCAATACTAACCATTCATTAATTGTTTCTTTTTTTTATTGTTACCCATCTGATCACTGTTAACAATTTTCGGGGGAGATGAATGTAGTATATTAAGTACGCCCCTGGTTCCCCGAAAATTGCGCATGTACGAAGAGTACTCTGACCGGGATACGTTAAACACACAGTATGTCGGGGTTCCGGATTTGTAACAGTTATCGGTGATATATAATAAACCATTAGTATACTTCCGGGTATTATTGATACCAACTAAGACATTACAGTGCTCATATTGAACAATTTTTGTACTTAGCTATTTCCGTTTATTAGTTATGTTGCCGTCCTCATCTGTTACGCTACTCAGATATTATCTAAAACAACTTGATTATTATGTTACAAAAATGTTTTATCATCATGGTACAAATAATGCATTGGAAGTTTTAAGAACACATATCTCGAAAACTGTTAGCTTTAGACACTTCTAATAAGTAAACTTTTTTGGTTGCAGAGATACCAGAAAATAAGATTTTTTGGTCAGTAGCTGTATACAGGGTATTACAAAAAAGTTATGTTATTTACCGAAATAGTGTTGTAATTGGCGCCCTCTAGATGTTTAGCCATACCGAGTTTTGTGCCAAAATCTGAAATACTGCTCAAGAAATAAGGAAAAATAGAAAATAAAATTGTAACCTTGACACCTTGTATCTACCATCAACTTTTGAACTAAGGTATGCTTAGGTCAATTCACATATTTTGGTCTGTTGTATCTCCAGTTTTAAGATTTCACGTTTAGCATATGTATATGAGAGAAGATTAGCCACTGATTGTATTCGTATTTGTAGGAGGCGAAATTGGAGCAGGCACTATTTAATCTCTCATATGCAGATAGTAATTTTCTCATAGAATCGCACGACTAACATTTAGTCTGCCCTGGCAGTCTTTTCGCAGCATGAGTCAAAAAAATTGTGTTTAGGACGATAGGGCATTCAAGAAACTACAACACTTGGAACCGCACAATGTCAGCGTTCACTTGCTGCAACTGCAAACTACTACTATGAATCTGCATCACAATTAGTCGAAAAAGTATTTTCGTCGAATGAATGAGAGGATACCGAATGAATAGTATATAGCTAACAGAAATCTCTGTGAATCTTCTTTGTCATTTACCAATACATATCTATTAAGGTGGCTTCAGATACAACTGCAAGCTTGTCCAGCATACTTATTCAATCTTTTTGTACAAGGATGCACAATTTGCCTTTGGCACCACACGTACAAACATGCTTGATAAAAATAGAGGTAGTTTAATAAAATTTGTCGAGCTCGGACGGCGATGCGCTCGCTTTGGCCGCTTTTGTTCTTGTGAAGAAAAGAAAATCCGTATTAAAAAAAAGTGCGGTGTGGTGTAAACAATGGTTGATGAAAAGGAAAACCTATTCTCACACCAACTTACTAAGTGAGCTGAAAATATATCCACGTGACTGGACAATTATCTTAGAATGGATGAAGAGACGTATTTAAACATTCTGTCTCTTGTATCACCTTTGATTCAATAGCAGGATATGATCATCGACGACGACTTCTGCAAGTTTGATAATCTTGGGTACACCCGCACCGTTTTGCTTGCGCAAGCGTGCCTAATTCAAGCATGTATAATTGAAATCAATTCAACCCTCAAGATGCTTGTACAAAGAGATTGAACAAGCATGCTGGACAGGCTTGCAGTTGTGTCTGTAGCCACCTTTAATCAAGATTCCCTGACACATGGACAGACAAAAAGATATAATCTGGGAATTATTTTCACGATATTGAAATCGTCGCTACAGATACTAAATCAAAGGACGTTTCAAGACATGCATACGATATATGAACTTTTCTTTAGAGACAACCTAGTTCTATCAAACAGTTGCGTGTCCTAACCTAGATTCGAGCCTATATCCTTCCGTGTCACTCTCACATCAAAGAGGTGGGCGCGATACCGTCTGTATATAATCCAGTCCTATAAACATTTTAACTGATAATAAGCACACATACCCGTATTATATCGCTACCGTTTTCCTATCAATTATACATTTAGCATTAGGTATATAACTGAGCAGTTTATGAATCGAAAGTGGTCTGAAATCTCAACGGGGATCTGAAAGTGAACCACTTGCATGTTAGTAGCAGCTAAATAAATGCCTTGCCGTAAACTGTAACTGGTCAAGTTCAGTCTGATTAGTAGAGATGAGGAAAAATAAGTATTTGTTTTTCGTGACTATCTGTGGTCACGAATATATATTCGAATCCAGAGTGATTAGTGCGACTGATTGTTTTTATCATATTATATTTCTTTGTTTGTCAATAGCAGTCTACAACAGCTCACTTGATTTGGATAAATTGACTCAAACGTCGCAAAGGTTGAATAAAACCTTTGAAGCCTAATTTAACTCACATATATGTATACATATAATATCCTTACATTTCAAGAAACAGATCGAAAGTACAACACAATTAAGAAACCCCACTTTTTTCAAAATAAAGATCAAAACTAAAAGACATAAAGGTTAAATAACACATCTTAGATCATCCATATAATGGGTGATTTTTTTGCTAGTATATTTTTGGCAACACAGATGACGCGTGAATCGTGTCATTGTCAAACTTTTTCAGTTGGGTCTATAATTTAACCATGAATCGGCTTACGAATGAACAACGCTTGCAAATTATTGAATTTTACTATCAAAATTCATGCTCGGTTAAGAGAGTGCATCGAGCATTGCTTCCAATTTATGGGCAATTTGGTCGGCCTACTGAGGGAGCTGTTCGGAAGGTTGTGACTAAATTTCGAACCCAGTTTACATTATTGGACATTAAACCACCAACACGCAGACGTAGAGTGAGGACTGAAGAAAATATTGCAGCTGTATCCGCCAGTGTTAGTGATGACCGTGAAATGTCGATTCGCCGCCGTTCGCAGCAATTGGGCCTCTGTTACTTCACTACGTGGAAAATTTTGCGACAGAATTTGGGTGTAAAACCTTATAAGATACAGCTAGTGCAAGAATTGAGGCCACACGACCTTCCACAACGTTTCCAATTTGGTGAATGGGCGCTGGCAAAGTTGGAGGGAGATCCACATTTTTATCGAAAAATTGTGTTCAGCGACGAAGCTCATTTCTGGTTGAATGGGTACGTTAACAAGCGAAATTGGCGCATCTGGAACAAAGACCAGCCAGAAGCATTGCAAGAGCTACCAATGCATTCCGAAAAAATCACTGTTTGGTGTGGATTATGGGCCGGTGGCATCATCTTCAAAGACGACAATGGCCGGAACGTAACTGTGAATGGCGAGCGCTACCGTGCGATGATAACAAACTTTTGTTTGCCCAAAATAGAAGAGCTGGACTTGGCTGACATGTGCTTTCAACAAGACGGTGCCACATGCCACACCGCACACGAAACAATGGCCCTATTGAGAGGCGATTCCGGTGAACAGTTTATCTCACGTTTGGGGCCCGTCAATTGGCCGCCTAGATCGTGTGATTTAACGCCGTTGGACTATTTCTTGTGGGGCCATGTTAAGGCTAATGTCTACAGGGGTAAACCGGCAACGACTGACGCACTGGAAGCTAATATTGAAGCATTTATTCGTGAGATAGCGGCCGATATGTTGGAGAGAGTGTGCCAAATTTGGACCTTGCGCATGGGCCATCTAAAGCGGAGCCGCGGCCAAAATTTACATGAAATAA